GCGTGTATTAAGAATTCGGGAAAATGCAATTTTAGTCAATTTCCCTTTTATTAAGTCAAAATTCGTGAAATTAGCATGGACCTTTCACCATGGTAATAAAAATGTGTAAAAACTTATTTTAAATTAAGTTCTGGGTTGCGTAAAATAATCCACAAATATTGTAAAGGAAAGTATTATCACAAAAAAATCTAGATAAAAACTGGAAGCGGAGGGTTTCTTTAGAAATCCGAGAAAATACAATTTCAATCAATTTCCCGTTTATTTAGTTTTCACCATGATAATAAAAGTCGGTTGAAACTTATTTTACATTAAGTTCTGGGTTGCCTCGAAATATCCAAAAAATTCAACTCATATTTAAATGTTCTCTGCAATAAAATCATAAAAAATCTGAAATGTTGCATTGTTGTCATTTATAATAAAAAAATACTCTAATGAACATTCAACTTTGTTATTCCATGAATATAAAAATACATATCTTGAATTTTTTCATATTAAATTTGTATTAAATTATATTCAGAACTTTAAAAGTTATTCAAGGAAAACCGATTTCCAGCGGGGTTCTTTTGGGGCCCATGTCTTCATAAGTTTAGCCACATGTTTGTTTTGTACTGACTAATCATTTTCTGAAGATTTTTATTGTATTAGTTAAATTTGATGGATCCGACTGTGGTCTTATTTCTCTATACAGTTTCCTCTTTGTCGTTATTAGTTTTAAGATGTATGGTGGTAAGGTATAGGACTGAAAATACTTTTTGTTTTTTTATAGGTGTATGCTTTAGTATCGACAATGAGAGTGTATTGAGGAACTTGGAAATTTCCGTTAGAGTTAAATTATTTATTACTGAGCAGTGTTAAACATTTCATCTTGAACTTTGTTTATATTGGCCTTCTTGAACAGATAAAACTTTTTTCCTCGACAGGATCCGGATTTTTTTCTATGTCTAGCGTAAATTCTATTGCTTGATAGTCTGCTCCCAGGTCTGTAACTATTTCAAGGAATTTGAAGTTTTGGGGACATAAGAGAATGTCGAGAGTTTTATTTATAAAGCGCTGATTGGACCACAAGATTGTCTTCAAAGTTAGGGTGTATGTAACAGGTGCATTTTATCGTCATTAAATGGTAGGGTTTTATGTAAGACGTTATTTCTAGCGTCTTTCAATGTTGGTGGGTTTGCTTTACCCAAATTAAGCTTAGGCAGATCTGATATCAGAGCTGGCCAAGTACTGAGTACTTTTACTCGTATTTCAATTACGAGTAAAAAAGTATTTTTCATTTGAAATACTTATTACTCGTTCTTACAAACCAAATTCAATGTACTCGTAAAAAATACTCGTGGAATTCACGAGTAATATATACGAGTATTTCTGTTTATTATATCGATGACTTTTTGCCAAAATATCATAAGCATCAAAACATTTTATTTGGAAGTCTGTTTTAAATTATATAATATATACCTACTAGGTATTACCTAGCATAATATAATATATTATAGCCTATAGGTTTTATAACAAGTATATAGGTAAAATTATAAACTTTTTAAGAATTGTTATTTTTATTTATTATTTTATGTACAGGGTGATCCCCTGTAAAGTCGCCCCCCTTTAACTTTTTTATTTTAAGTGTCCCAAAAAATTTAAAGTGTGGTTATGTAGGGACTAAAAAATACTTTTTTTACATACAAAAAAAAAGAAGAATTGTTGAGATACAGAGACAAACAAAAACGTTTATTTTTTCTGAATGGATCACCCTATATTTATTTTTCGATTCCTTGTAAAATTCTAAGCATAATTTATATAACAAACTATATACCTTAATTCAACCGTTTCTAAAATATTCGCATTTGAAACTTTATCATCAAACATTTTTTAAACTGTTACCTACAAATTAAGAAGCCTTAGTATAACAAAATGTTTATTGAAAATAAATAACTATAGTGACATCATGTCAATATGTTTTGTTAAGTAAGTAAAAATGGCGTACTCATACGAGAATAGTATATTCTGTAACAAGTTTGGAATACAGCATATTCCGCTCGTTGAAGAGTTTGTCACACGAGCCGAAGGCGGGTTTGACGTTTCAGGAGAGCGGAATATGCAATTCCAAACGTGTTTCATACTATACTTTTTTTACGTTTCCAAAAAATATCATAGAAAAATAATTTAATTGGAAGAAAGTGAGGTTGGATGATCCAACCTCACTTTCTTCCAATTGGATCGGTCTAAAATTTGTTAGATATTAAAAACAGAGATGTCGCCACGAGTAGTGTTGTCGATGTCGCCACGAGTAGTGTTCTGTAATATGTCATTCCATAGATGAAAGTGATATTAGAACGGTCAAATTCCGTAATAGTAGAAAAAGAATATTTTAACTTATTATCTTAAAAATAATTTAAATATGAAACTGTTGAATTTAGGTATATGATATGTTATAGGAATTATGCTTAGAATTTTACAAGGAATCGAAAAATAAATTCATAAATAGGGTGATCCATTGAGAAAAAATAAACTTTTTGTTTTCCCCTGTATACTGCTCCATTTTCCAATTTTTCTATACGTAGAAACAAGTATTTTTTAGTACATACATAACCACACTTTTAAATTTTTTGGGACACTTAAAATAAAAAAGTTAAAGGGGGGCGACATTATATGCGATCATCCTGTACCTAATGTTTAAAATAAATAATTTTATAAATTTGTATTTTTATAGCTCAGGACCAAAGTATGTATAATGTATAAAGAATAATCAATTATATTAACTAACATTTTTTTTCAAAAGTACTCGTACTCTTTACTCGTGTTTTCACGATTACTACTCGTAACCGTAACCTCTCTTTAAAAATGTACTTACGAGTAAATATTTTCTCTGTCTGATATTAGTGTTTATAATATTTTCCTTTTTTGGATTATGTCCCAATTTCGGAAGGGCCCAATTGTACATTTTATGTTGTGCTTTTGTATATATCCAGATCTATGTTGTAGAATAAAATAAAACCTTCTTTTAGTTTCCTAAATAGTTATTATACAGGGTGTTATGTAATTAATGTTATATATTAAAATACTGAATACCTTTTGACATAAGGAATAAAGGAAAAATATTTAAAAAAACATTTTTCCAAAGATAAAGAAAAAATATGCATTAGAAGTTTTTTATATTTTTTGTGATACGCCACTGGTTACACACTTGTTTATCTCTGCACACCTGTATTTTGTGAGTACATAGATACCAACCATCAAAGTAGCTATGCGTTGACAGATGTAAAAAATTGTTACTAAAAATTTTTCTTGCAAAAAATAAATAAAAACTCAATAAATACAAAAGTTTTATACCCTTAAAGGTCTAATACCCTTCTGTATTTATTTACTCATCCAGCTATTAGCTTAAGCAATGATTAGAAAATTTAGTACCTTTGAAATTTGAAATCCATAACCACAAAATTAATTTTTTCATCAGTTTTTTTCTCTGTTTACTCAGATGAAATTGGGACCAGTTCACAGGTTAAACTTTAAACATTTAATTTGTGTAAATAAATCCAAAAGCACTTTCCTTGGTTAAGATATTTACAATTTGAAAACATAACCTAAAATTTAAAAGAAATGCACTAGATTCTGTCATAAAAGTTGGCAGATTTTGTTTGAATTTACCTTCAGTACAAAAATGAAATAACCAACAATTAATAAAAACGCCAAATTGACAATTTGCATTGTTAATTTTGTCATTTTTGTAATTAAGCTAAATTTAAACAATGTTTGTCAACTTTTTTGAGAGACTTTGGAATCACTGTTGTTACCAACCATAACATAATAAATCCACCAGATTAACCTAAAGTTCCTAATCGATCAGTGGCGTACTTTTTGGTAGGATAAAGGTTATTATAAATTATTTTTAGACTTTGGAATTTAGAAAAAAAAAGTTTCAGGTGCTTTTTTATGGACCCTAAGGAACAACCCATTTTAATATATAACATTAATTACATAACACCCTGTATATGTGTCTAATATCATATTATGGATTGTAATGCCTGTATGTATTCTGGAGTTTTGTTTTTTCTTGCTTATGTCATTACTTCTTTTGTTAATGTGTTTTATTGGAACCAGCAACTGGGTTGGCTGGTCGGGGGCATTTGAATGACCAAGCGATGGAGCTAAGCTAGGAGGTAATATCAAAAAGCATTTTATTGTTTTGTGGTGCCCTAAGCATTTTGCACATTTGAATTTTTCTTGGCAATTTTCAGAGGTATGGGTGAATCGGCCACACTTACTGCATGGATATGATGTAGGTTGTAGTGGTTTGCTAGGGTATATTGGATAATGACGGTGCTTATACAATAGACCATTGCTTAGTAGGGCTTCAGATGTTTTTTGGTTCCCTGTAATGATACGGATTAATTTTGTATATTCGTTTGTAGCATTTGATTTAATTATATTGCAGTAACGGTGGTCATAGTTGTTTTTGCTAAGGAAATTGATAATTTTGTTATCACCCACTTCCAATTATACCGTGGCAATAATAACGGAAAAACTTCTTTTGATAAAAGGCAGTAGTGGAATTCTCGTCGCAACATTTATGTCCGAGAATTGACTTAAACGAAATGCAGAATGGGTCGACGTTCAAACAACAAAAAGAGACGGGTTCATACCTATATCTATACTGTTATGTAGCGTTTTCTTCGTTCTCCCCGAATCAAGATAACCATATGTGTTCCTAACCTCATTTTTCGGACACTTTCAAGTTAAAACTAGCACTTTTAAAAATGTTTAACTGAAAGACGTAACAGTTAAACGAAGCAACTTTGGGGATGTTGACTAAAATTTATTTATTTTAAGTCAAGGAATTTATGGGTTTCGTTGATTACGCACTATTTATTATTTATTTGTTATCTATTATTTATCACATTTGTACACTACATTGTAAATAATATGTTAAATTATTCAGTAATCTAATAATTTGTGTTACAAATTTAATGTTTAATGTTAATTACAAATATTTAATTTTTCTTTAGGAATATACTGGCGAAGACGATTCCGATCTGTTTCTGGAAGAACGTGAAAAGGCGTTGCAGGGCGCACAGGCTGAAAAACGGCGAGTTCAACTCACCGTACCTGGAATCTTAAACCCACATGAAGTGGCAGAAGAAATGCAAGATTAGCACTATTGTTTTTAAATCAACCAATTGTAATTAACCGTAAAAAATTACTTTATAACGATATTTTTCTATTTATCTCGACCCTGTTTAATAGAACTTATCGCCTCATTACTTTTTTGTGAATGTGTTTTGTGCGCCTTCATTACATTAGCTGAGATGCTTTTAATTTTTTTACGAATATATTTTTTTATAAGTAATTCAGTTTCTTATTGAAATTTTGTATAGATACCATGTTAATTAAAGAAACCAATAAAAGTATCAGTTTTGGCAAATATTTTTTTTACAAACCATTTCATACCTTTACAGTAAGTATAAATAAATGTATTCTTTTCTTAACATGTTATTTTAATATTTCAGCTCATCAAAAATGACTTTTTATTCGCTACTTATTTTAAAGCACAAAACACACTTTTTTAATAAATCTTTTGGAAAAAATACGGTATGTATGTGATGGATGATAGCTATGTATTATTAAAAACATGTTTTAGTTAGGACTACTTTACGTTTTTAGAATTTTTACGATACATCACTCACGTGTGTTTAACATATAAACCAAAGTAGTAATTTTTCTGAAATATATGTATTAAATAAGCAAATTAAACATATACAGAGTGGGTTTGACAAATTGCAAGTGGCCTTTTAAAGATTTTTATTTAGTTTTGTAGTGTAACCAAAACAGAACAAACTTTTTTTTCAAATTTAAAATATAGTCAATTAAATATTGGCATTAAATAGTTAAAAAATACACATAATTCTATTTAAAAATACGCATATGTTTTAAGAGTGATTTTATCCATTTATGACCATTTTAATTAAATAATTTTTGTGTAACAAAACATTTGCTATTTATTTCAGTCATTCTGTATATTTTTACTCTTACTAAAAAATATTGAGGACCAGGCATTTAAATGTTAATTTTGCGGAAAATTTATAAAAATCTGCATGATCCTCCTTATTTAATTTACAAGGTATACTTACAGGACATGGTGAAGGGGCAGAAATTGTACATGTGGTGTAAGGTAATAAAGAAATAGTAGACTTGTTAAAATTTTGACAAAAACTAATACGACTACAAAAAACTACTAAACGTATTTAACATATCTTTAACAACTTACACCACTGGTTCAATTTTCGACCCTTAAACCGTAAACACCCTGTATAGTAAGTTATGTCAAATATTTTTCTTTGAATACCATTTTACTCACTCACAAGAAAAGTGCCACAACTCAAAACCCTACTTTTTAAGGATGGCGATTTTAAAACTTTATTCTCAGCACAAAATAAAAATTGTGCTAGAATTGAGCAAACATATTAAAAGTAATTGTGCAAACATTGGTCAGTACTACCACGTGGTAGGTAGCAATTAATGATTGCAGAATTTAACTGAGCAAACATAACCATCCAATAAATGGGCAATTTGTTTGAATGTCAATATTCTTATAACCAAATTATGGCAAAAAAGTTACTAAAGTTCCTATTTTTATCCAATATATACTCATTGTTGGAATTTTATAGATTAACTCGTTTTCTTCGAAATGTCCAGACTGCTTAACCTACAAATGGAAATTTGACAAAAAATTGTATTTAAGAAAAAAATTTATACAAGAAAAAGCTTTTGGCTTTTTTACTCTATTGCTTTCCTGCTGCTAAATTATAATAATAAATATAATATAAAAAAAATTGTATAAAAGTTAAAAATGAATACAAGAATTTAAAAAAAACTGCATTTAATTAGCTATTGGCTTTTTTGTTTTTTTTTACTCTGTTAAATTATAATTTATATGTCCTTACTGAATTTAAGTAATATTTTTCTTTTGTAATGCCTTAGATTTATTGCCTAGTTATTGGTCACTGTTTGTTCCAAGGAAAACACCCAGTGTTTGAGTTATAACCATACAATTGTAATTTTAATTAATTAATAATATTACAATATTGAGGCATAATGAGGCAATCTTCAGCCAAATATATTGGGTCAATTAAATTGTTTCAGAAATTGCCCAATAACTTGTTTCCTGAACTTAAGTAATAATTATAGGTATATGTTATTTATATTTACTTTTTCATTTTATTAACTTGCAACGTTTTTACATATTTATCAAAGGAAATGTTTGAGTTGTGTCATTATTTTTGTGCATAAGATATCTATTTTAATTAACATAAAAATACATTACAATACAATACTGTGTTGGTAGAAAATCTTAAAAGTAGCTAAATAACAGATTTGTACATTTTTATAACACTTGTAAAAAAAAAGTTTGAAAGCGATATTTTGCTTTTATGTAGGTACATGATTTTCAATACTTATTTTAAAACTTTTTTGACTGAGGTATGGGAAATGATTGTTTAATGTAATTTAAATCCCCTTGAAATAAATATTTCGTTTTCGTTTGATTGTTAATATCTATGAATTTTGAAATGTAATTCTACTTAATTTGTGTTTAGGTATACCATAAAAGCCCCTTATTCCTGTATATAGCCCATATCATCATCATTATCAAATTATTTTGCAGATTTTGACATAATTTTTTTATTGAATTTTTTTGCAGTTTTCTCACAAGGTATTGGTTTTATTTTGCCTATTGTTTTTGTTTTCGTTTTATTTTCCTTTTAACATTTCATAATTTTTAGTATGTATACACAACCATTGTTCCTTAAAGATGCATATCTTTTTGAGTACAATGATTTGATATGTACAAGTAGTTGTTAATATTTTGTGATCATTTCTAATAATAAAATATATAAAAGTTTATCTGGCATTTTTCAATAATAATTGGTAATGGGCAATGCAAAACATTTAACAAATATTAAGTTTTCCAACATTTACAATTTAAAGATTTATATACAGAATGTCCCAGAAGTCGCGAACAACCTTGAAGATGTATTTACGGACCCCCAGGAATCCCAGAAAATTGCTGGAACATCCTTTATATATACCTACAAATGTAGGTACCTGCATTGATTTATTTTATATTTATAATCAAATATGCATATACATGTATATAATATATATATATATATATATATATATATATATATATATATATATATATATATATATATGAGTCAAATCAAATGAAACCGGCCACCTAAAAAAGTTCTTTTATGGATTTTAAATACAATTGTGTTTTTTAATAGAGGTATAAATAAATTATTATTCCCTAATTTTTTTTTTAATTTCACTTAATTTAGAAACAATCGCGAATCGAAAATTTACGCATCTATTTTGGTATTTGTTTGTATTTCGGAAACTAATAGACATATTTAAGTGATTTTTTTTTATAAGAAAGATAAATGTCTATATTTTTTATTAAATATCAATCAATTGTTTTTAATTCTATTTTTTTTATTTTTTTTACAATTTTTTTTAAACAATTTCGAGTTTGGCCAGGTTCTCAATTTTATTCTAAAATAGGATTAAATCCATTTAATGCGTAAAACAGAATCGAGTAAATTAAAAAAAAAGTTAGTAACCACCAATATTAAGGAAGTTATGAATATTTTTTTGATGCCGCGGCATGCCGCCCGGTCACTAACACGCTTATAAGGGTTTCAACGCGCTGACTCTAATTATAATTAAACTATTCTCATTATTTGTGAAGCGGTCAAGCAAAATGAATTGAATTCATTTGAAATACTTATTTAAATAATTTCTTAAATCTTTATTAATGTAGTTGGTAAAAACATTTATAAAATTTAGAACAATAATTATAATTGTTATAAATTAGGTAAATATTTTGTATTAACGATATTAATAAACAAATTATTTAAATAAATGCTTAAAATGGCTTATGCTAATGCATTTTGTTTGATAGCTACTCATTTATTAGACGGTTTTAACTTAAAAGCAAAAATTATACAAACAGATAAACAATTTTAAGCTTTAACTATTTCTGCTTCTTTAAAACTTGAAACAATTTTGCACATTAATTTATTGTTTTCTTGCGGTATAAACGCATGAAATTGACGCGTCTTGGGTATAGATTTACAATTTTCATACTTTGATTGGTACAATTTCTCGTGGGTTTTGTATTCTTCATTTGTACAAAAATTAAAACTAATATTTTTAAAGTAACCCACAGCCCAATTATAAAAGTCTTTTGGAGATGTTATTTGATTAGTTTTTTGCAGACTTGCAATTCTCGCTGCATTTTTTACACATCCACCAATCCCATCGCAAGCGCCTATTCCATGGGATGTTGCGAAAAAATGCCATTCCGCGCTAATACCATATTCCGATTCATGTAAGAGTAACGAAGACAAATTAAACTTATTTTTATATTGAGACCCAGCTCCATCAGAAAAATAAAAAAATTTCGGATAACAGAGTCACTAAATTTTGTTTTTAGGTACTGTATTAACTTTTTGTTATACAAATCAACTGACGCAGCTGAATGCTTAAGGCTTTCTGATACTACAACAAAATTTTCGTTTCTTAAAACATTATTTTGTTTGAAGAATTGCGTCTTGAATAAGGAAAGAATAATTTTCAGAAAAGTCCAAGGTTACAATATATTCGCCCTCATTTATAGTTGCCTTAAGACTATTTAAAAATGTCGATTGTGCTGTCGCAATGAAATCGTGTTTTAGCACTACTGGTAATTCCCGTTGGAGTATATTCAAAAAATTTGCCGCGGTTTCCTTAACTGTTTCTAAGGAACATCTAAAAAAAAGGTTTAGGATGGTTTCAAATATTTCTTTTTCGTTATTTTTTGACATTAAAACGTTAATTTAAGAATTACTTTTATTTACCTATCAACTGTTAGCCATTGTGTATATTTTATTTCAGTAATTTCCCCGTGTTCCAAAATTTAGGTAATTTTTTTTATGACATTTCAGCTCCAGGACACTTTTGGCAGTTTAGTAAAAAACAATTGGATTTTGATTCTTTACAAACCATCTCGTTAAAGCTGTCACGGTAAGATTTATCGTATTGAATATGTTTTTTCAGCAAAGTTTGCTTTATTCCTGTGTATCTTAGTCTTAGATTTTGGTGGATTTTGCAAACGCAAACATTATGACTGCCTTTTCCACCAGCCAAAATACAATAAGGGGGTCGCATTTCTCTAAATTTGGTCAGGGAAATCTTTATTTCGGGATATTTTTTACAAAACTTCCGGTATAATCCGTCCAAATTTCCCAAAACTAAGCGTTTCTAGATACATAAAAAAGAAATAACATTAATTTATTTTATTTCCACCTTCTTAGTAAATAAAATTTTATAGGTTAATTTTGTTGTTTTTGTATCCAAGTAAACGATACATTATGGGAA